CTACCTCCGATGCCGCCATCGACCGACCGCCCCAAGCGGAGGCCAATGCCGACCACTGTCTCTCACCCACTCTTCAAGAGACCATCGGGGCAGTACGAGAAGTCTCCAGCTAAAAGCATACTCTGCAAAAATTGCTACTTAAGTAGAATGCAAATCTCTTAGAAATTCAAATATATTCTATAAAATACATGCAGAAAATATTCTCTTTCTTTCAACATGAACCACATCCACCGCAAAATTTCGTGAGAACAATGTAATCTCTTATCCATATTGTAGAGAAATATGCGAGTTTCCTGAGACAGAATGCATACAGCCTGTAATTTGAAAACCTTGCATGAAAGTGTAAAGCCCCATGTGGTTCAAAATTATTCGAAAATTAGTGCCGTAATTAGCTTTTGAATGGGTGTATTAAGGATATATTATACCAAATATTTTTGAATTTATAGGGGCATCGAGGATAAATAAGCAATAAAATGCATACTACGTAAGTAGTCATTTTGGAAGCGACCGAAAAACGATGCGCTCGAAATCCGATATCATAGTATCTCTGACATTTCATGGTATCAGGTTATGATCGGTATTTTAATCCCGCTTAACTGATACCTCCAAACTGAAAACACACTTCAGGATTTCAGCTAACATTTTTATGAGCTCGTTCATTGACTGTATAAGTTTAATTAGATGAAATACCCAGCGTTCGACACACCCTGCTATCTATCCCCTCTCCAAGTTCAGAAGGTGATGGATACGCCTGGCTGAACATTTACTGGGATCCACTCGTTTGGACGCGCTCTTGCCTCTCATACCAATGTGTCAACTTAACGGCACATGTTTGGTCGATATCTCAAATGCACTTATACACACAGCTGGCAACATCAGTCTGGCCTTCAGTCCGGGAAACTTCTGTCATCACCGACACGCACTCAAACCCATATATGCACTGGATTATCTCATTCATTTCATCGTTACGGCCAGTCCACACGATTCTATTGAAGACTAAAAGCGCAGTTAAACTGCAATTTTAAAAAATCTGCCAGCATGCGTACATTTTGGCTGACTTATGACAAGATCGAGATTCGTGGCAATTTTGCCTGGAATATTACGTAAAACACTATGGACAGGGGTGGTAAAGTTGCAGTAATTCAATCTGTGTCCGACAAGTGAAAACACTTAACATCCTTATGTGGGCGAGTAATCCAGATAAAACTGGCGAACACTTTAACTCGATGTCTATGCAAAAATCACATTAACTGGTAAAAATAATGCAGTCAATGGAATATACGAACATACCTCAAGGCAAGGTTGCACTGGTTTACAGTTGCTTTAAGCGTATCTTTATGTATATTTGACATGATGATCGCTTTGTGCCATAAGTCCCACCACTCCAGCATAAGCGGACTCTTTGTGGAAACTGGAATAGTCGCATCTTTTTCAACCGGTTCATAGGTCTGATGTAAAGTACGTATCTGTTGTAAGTGGAGTCACCTAGACGGCCTCGTATGACCTACCTGGTTCTGTGTTTCCGATGTCATATCGGGAGACAGCTCAAAGATTCCGTAAGACGTGGAGGTAGGCTCACCTTTGTGAACGAACTTCGACACAGTCCAGTCAAAGTCAGATATAACCTGAGAAGCAACATGAACATCCAGAAGCCTTCCTACCTGGAGATTGTCTTTCCCCAGAGCAATCATGCGAGCAGGCTTCCCTTTTAACGCATCGGGATATTTGATGTGCAACCTACGGCAGTGCTAGGGCTAAATGAGAGCGAGTGTTTGAACTATAACCAACCTCTGATTTCCCGTTGAAAAGAACTTCAAACAAATTGAATAGGCTACGTTTGTGGGAGCTTGATAGTCCATTGGACTGGCTTGCTTCAAGGATTGCTGTTTCCATTACCGTGCAAATGGGCTTAGC